TTGAAGAACATCATAAGTAAAAAAAAATGCTTTGATGAAACATTCCTTTATACCAAATACATTCAAAGACCGTACTGAATTGAATCTGAACTTTAGTTTCAGTAATGCTTAATCTGTGTCTGGTTATCTTTTGTTCATTCTCCAAATGATTTCAAATATAAAATTGTATTCTGTAGAATTTGTCTCTTACTTTAAAACTCATTTTCAAGACTGCCAATATTATTTTACTATTTTAATAGTAAAACATTATATTACTCTACATTTAAGATATTACTATTATACAATTATATTATAATTATACAATGCATTTATTATAATATATATACAATAATTATACAAAATATCCATAGTAATTATTATTATAATTATACAACACAATTATATTACTCTATACATTTATATTTTTAGCATATACAAAACTCACCATTTCCCTAATAGCAAAACTATTCAAATGTTTGATCCTGTGTCCTTCAAAGATATCACTATTTATAAATTCCCTAAAAATTGTTTTTTACAATTGTACCACAAGGACATATGTTCAACTATGTTCATAGCAGCATTGTTTATCATAGACAGAACCTGGAAACAACCTAAATGTCCCTCAACTGAAATATGGATAAGGAAAATGTGGTACACTTATACAATGGAGTACTACAAAGCAGAGAAAAATAATGAGATTTGCAGGCACATGGATGGATCTAGAAAATATCTTACTGAGTGAGGTAACTCAAAACCAGAAAGACAAATGTAGGTAAAGAGAGGTCCACTAGTTAGTTCCTGGCTGCTTAGCCCCAAAATAATCACACAGAAACTGTATTATTTAAATCACTGCTTAACCCATTAGTTCTAGCTTCTTATTGGCTAACTCTTACATCTTAATTTAACTCATCTCCATTAATCTGTGTATCACCATGATGTTTTGGCCTACCAGCAAAGGGAAGGTTTTATATTTAGGGAGTGTCACATTGATTGCCCAAGGTAGTCTTAAACACTTTCTACAACTCAGGCAAGACTTGAACCTGACATTTTTCTGATTGTCTGTCTAGTAACTATGCTATGGGGGGGTACAATCATATCTCACTTAAAAATGAATATTAGATCTTGAAAAAACATGAATATAAGTAAAATGACTATAACATATGTCATTTTCACATACAAGATTATAGAAGACAAATTTGATATAAACATTGATTTCACTAAACATAAGTATGTGGAATATGAAAAACTACAATTGCTGTAAGAGTTCATTATTTTGTCTTCTACTCATTTCAGTTTTTAAGGATTTATTCCTTTTAGCCTGCAGTGTATGGAAGATTTTATCTTCTTTCTGCTTCTTAGAGAAGAGAACAGTTTTATTCCCCAAAGCTGGAATTGAATGTATTATCTGGCTCTTTCAGATGGCAACATTTAATAATAAATTAAATATAGACCTTAAAAACAACTACAAAAGTCATTAAAATGTAGCAGCTTTCTAGAAGAAGTTTCCATGTACTTCTGAATCACACACACACACACACACACAAACACACACACACAAACACACACAATTAGATATAATTAAATACTGTTCAAGGTTTCATCAAGTAAATTTCAAATGTCTAGTGAAATCTGACAGATATGTACCTGTGTCCTGTCCTTTATCTCACAGGTTTAAGTAAAAGCAAATTTGTCTGTCCTGGGTATAAAGTAATCCCATTGTCTGCCTTCTCTGTAAGATTATTGTTGTATTCCTGTAACATATGATCACCATTGACCAATGCCTCTCCTCAGAAGAGAGAGGCACAAATGGCTCTTCCAAACAGCCCTTTTAGAAGGTTTGGTGATATGCAGCTTCAGTTGGAGCAGGATACAATTTTTTCCACATCTAACAATTTCAGGTTTTCAACATTTGAGCAGACCTACATGTTTGTCCTAATGTGTTATTATGAAAACTTATTTTCTCATCCCAGGTAATGAAATGAATAAGTAAATAAGTATAGTACATGTGCTTTTGTTCTGTTAGGTACTTTGAACCCAAAATTTACTATTGATTAAATAACATATCTTTCATCTTTTTGCAATAATTCAAGTTAGTTGATGGATAGGATAGGTTTTCATTTCTATCTGAAAAGTGATAAGAGAATAATAATTGCTTAGTATAATTTAATGAAATAAGACTACATATGAAGACTTCCCCAATCTACTAACGCTACTACTTCATTGTTATTTCACTTTATGTTTAATGCTCAAAGGCAACTTCAAACAGCTACCATTTACATGAATTGAAAATCTACTTCCTCTTGGTTTCCAAACAAGACATCTATTAAAATCCCAACTCAAGAAACAACATATTATATGATACTTGACGATATTTAGTCTAAACACTATCATGGTAGCTACTGATATAAATTATGTAGAAATTGTTACCTTTTCGTGGATATTTTGTTGCTATGATATATTCATATAAATTATATATTAGCATATTACACGCATATATATTCCTATTATATGTTATTTTAACAGAAACTTAAAATGAAGTTTCTCTATTTGATAAAAATGAAACTAATTTTTATTTTTCTTGAATCTTTTACTAACATAGTCATTAAAACTTTGGTAATGATGTATTTTCATAGCACTAACCATATATTTATAAATGACAACCAAAGTTCAAACAGCTTAGTCTCACATACTATATTATTGTAATCAAATAATTACTGATTATAGGCACTGAGTTTATTCATGGTTGTATGCAGTTCATAATCCTATGGAAAACTGTTTGCTTAGAAAATTAAACTGAAAAATACTATAGAAAAGATAACCCAAATTATGATCCCTATATAAGTAACTAAAATTTACCTTAAAGTTTTATCATTTCTTGCCTATATTTGTTCTAAAGCAAATTACCTATTTTCATGTTTTATGGAAAAATACATTTGTCTAATTATGTACATCTCATTAAATGCCTTCTCTTATTTGATTTCCTGTATTTATCCCCAAGATTCAAGTAATGGAGCATTCAGATAGGAAACACACTGTCTTATTCTCTAGCGGGTTGAAAGCGCTTTATGTGTTGTAATCTGGCTACTATAAGTAGGCTCAGCTGAGCCCTTATTGATTTGTCGTGAATCATCTGTACATCTCAGGCACTCATGCTTCTTTCTCGCATTATATTCCTCACAGTGTGGGCTACTTGCAACAGACTAAAGAATTAAATGCCACAATCACACTTTCTTTAAACCCTCTGAGCATCAAAGAAAACCCAGAACAGATAACTATAGAACTTAGCCCTTTACAGTTTTATTTTAGACTCTTTGTTAAAAGGAGATGATTAAATTTTCATGTATTCTGAAGCCTTGGTGAACAAGAAAATACCGTTAACTGCTTCATTGCTGACGACAGACTATCATTAGATGGCCATAAGAAAAAGATTTCTCTCTTTGGCTTGCAGCTTGCTTGGGCTTTAGGTTTTTAGTATGTTCCCTCACAGAGGTTTAATGATCTTGTTCAAAATCATGAGATCCCAGCCTCTATCCTGTCTCTGCAGACGCACGAGGAAAGTTTGCTATCTCCAGAGAACATCAGAGCACTCAGCTTGCCTCAAGTCTTGTGCTCTGTGTTTTTATGTTAAAGAAACTGTGGTTTGCTAAACCACTTAACTCTGTCAATACTCTTGACATCTGACTTACAATTTTAAGATGATTCTTTTAAATAGAGAATATTCTTAAGTCTCATTCTAATGTGGAATTTCTTTGAAGCAAGTGGTTTACAGAAGAGTATAGATATATAAATGGGGGACTAATTCAGGTCCCGGGGAAAGCATACTGCCTTTTAAGCCATGATTCCATCTGTGTTCCTCCTAGAGCAGAGGAAACAATTTTTCTCCATTGGTCACAGCCCCTTCCCAGATGGGCTGTCTGCTGCCACAGCATATAGAATGACTCTCTGAACAAATCACCAAGTGGTCCTTCGCCAGGCTGACTGTGAGGAACTAGACCCAAATCTGATCATTAAATATATCCCTAGATTCTTCCTCATCCCACAATGTCACACTCATATTTTCTCTCCATCTTTTGTCATCGAACCAAGATAAATCAAAATGATTTCTACTTGACATTAATCCATAGCACAGATCAAATGATAAGTGAACACTATTAAAAATGCTGAATGTTTTGTCAAATTTCCACACATATATATTACCACCCCCTATTTCTCTAGCCTGACCAGATATGTGGACATGGGGAAGTGTTTTCCAGAGACTTTTCTTCTGAATACTGTGTTTAAAGATGTCCGTATCTTTCTGATATTTGCTAATGTGATAGTGATAACAAGAAATATGTCACAACTTATGTCTTTCAACATTAGCAAGAAGAACAAGGCATGAATTCTTTCCAGAGTCAGGATTTACTTAAATGGATGGTCTTATTTGAGCTATTTGCTGCAACTTACTACAATATAGCAATGGTGCCTTTAGAGGTCTGTAGACTCTATCATTTCAATACTCAATAAATACATGTTAAAATTACAACAGTGTGCCTCACACATTAAATAAAGAAATCATAGTGAAAACAGCAAAAGTTTTACATCTTTTATACTATGTTAGAACAGTGTATACATTTTATTCACGTCTGTAACAATATATTTCTTTCTGATAACAGTTTATGGATTGTCTAAATTATCGTATTATGATTTGAATCAGGAAAACATTGTTTAATACAAGGAAATGAAGCAACTTCAAAATCTTAGAGATATTTGTCTCTGAGAAATTTGGCCGTAGAATTCTCTCATGAATGTTAAAAAAGCATATTTCATGAGCAGTGTTATAACTTATACCTCAAGTTAATTCTGCTAAAAAGCATCAAATATATCTTTGTGATGATAAAGCATAGAGGTAAGACTGAGACTTCCTTTAATTCACCTTCACCCACTATATAGAAGACGAGAGCTGGGGAAGACTCGGCCTAACTTGGAAGGAGATTTATTAACACAGGGGTAATGACTCAGCAAATCAGATGGCAAATTACCTTTGAGAGATCCCCCGCCTCCAAATAGAAGCAGATAACAAACACATTCCATGCCACCCAGAGGACTAGCCAGACAGCGTACTGTAAAAAAACAAAGAAAAAGGAGCAGAATGAATTTACTATTAGCCAAGGCAGAGGGCAAATAGATCTTGAACTTCTGAAATTCAAATTAAAAGATTAGTTATTGATTCCATCTAAGAAACAGGCATATCTATCTATCTATCTATCTATCTATCTATCTATCTATCTATCTATCTTGATTTCTTATAACTTTTTAAGGTCTCATAATCCAAAAAATACTGAAGGATCACCAGGCAATGGTGGCACATGCCATTAATCCCAGCACTTGGGAGGCACAGGCTGGCAGATCTCTGTAAATTCATGCCAGCCTGGTCTACAGAGTAAGTTCCAGGACAGGCTCCAAAGCTACAGAGAAACCCTGTCTCAAAAAACAACAACAACAACAAAAAAAAAATAGTGGAGGATCATTTCAGTTTTTTTTGAAGCAGAAGAAATAATTGACTCCCCATTAATAAAGAGATTTTAGTTTGCAGTCATGGAAAGAACTGAACGCTCCAGTAGAAACTCTAATTATGTAAACAGAAAACAGTTTTGTTTAGTAAACATGCCTTTATAGTGCATATGCAAACTTTCTTCATGTTATTAAGGCTATCCCCAACACAACGGTCCTCACGTCCATGGCCCATATATTATGTATTTTTTAGTGTTTCACTTCTTTGTTTATCTCTCCATGCTATCCTCTCACAAACCCCATGACATAACAGTAACCATTTGGCAATCGCCCCCACCTTCATTCTGTTGTCTGCTTAGCGCATATTCTGCAGCAGCAACAAATTTTCTTACCAAGTCACAGTTCCGACCAGTCAAGCAAATTATTTTAAACACCTTGAATTGCTATTTTAAAGCACCGCAGATAACAATTACCCATAGATTTATGTCAAATGAAAAAGATGATTTTTAAGAAGATGAATATCTCATAAGAATCCTAAGATTATGTGTAATGTGAATACAAAGAAGATGGAAATAATATATAGTTTATCTTGAGAAACAGAACATGAAATCTTAAAAATAAAGAGGTGATGTTTTATCTATAAGAAATGAATGGGACTAACTTTCAGACTCAACTAAGTCTAAATCTGGGGATTTACTGGAAGGGCGATATCAACAAGGAAATGGCAGGCGTGGGTACGCTTTATCAGTTGAAATCACAGAGTATTAAGTTACCTCCTGCTAAATAAACCTATGACTGCCATCTCTTTGATAATTGGTTCCATATTTTTATAATATTATTCACGAACTCCAAGAAATTTTAACTATACTGTCTTTTAAGTCACTTATTTGAGCTCATCCCTGTAGACATACGGGATCCCAAACACATCGTTGACTTTCTGTTCCCTGGACTTAAGGTACATTTTTCTTCCTGGGGTCCTTTACCATATAATTTCTTCATCATTGATTTTTTTTCCGTTTCTCTACACATTACTCTTCACATCCATCAATATTTTATTTTTCTTCAAAGGTCACCTAAAATAACAGTTGCTGACAGACATGCAGTTATATCTGAATGAGCTTTTCATAGTGTTTATAGCTGATGTTGCTGTCTTAATTTCAATTCTCTACCATCTTTACTTATATATAAATGTCTAATGTACAGACAATAGTATCTTTAGGATACTATTTGTTCATCTGCCTAAACTACTAATACCTTGGATAAAATAAACATTCAGAAAATATTATTTTTAATTCAGTGAGTGAATGAGAAGAAATTAAGATAAAATATTATTTTTAGTTTCAGAATGCAGACACTACTCATAGGCATCACTTTTGCAGGCATACTGTAATCATCATCATCATCTTATTTGAGGAGTGATAAAATTGTTTAACACTAAACAGTGGTTCCACAGCATTTTAAAGATGCTTGGTTGTTCCATGTACTGTACAGGGGTGTTGTTCTGTTCAGCGTAGAGCGAAGATGGCCAAATGCTCTGAGAACAAGGATATTTGAGATGCTGCCTAGAGTGCGGACTGAAAACTCATGGAATGAAAACTCATGAGGAGATTCACAAACTGAGTAACTGCAATGAAAGAGGATCATGTTTTGTAGTATAGGGATACTATAAAATATTTGAGTTTGATCAGCCTGTGTTTTTAGATAGCTTAGTTTATTTTTTAGTTTACTAAAATGGGGAGGTTGTTATTGAGTACTCGGAGGTAAACTTGAGTAAAAGTAAATACCTTTTTAGATATTTAATGTATAAATATTCCACAGATTGCCTTTCTCTCTAGGTGCTTCCTACTCTATGCAGATTATAGTCACTGTATATGACACATTCTAGCTTTGCTTTGATTTCCTGTAATTTGGTCATGTTTTTCCTGAAAAAAATCTTGCCCTTTTCAATGTCCTGAAATATTGCACCTATAGTGGTTTCTAAGAGTCTCGGGCCTTGCATATATTTGATAAATAGATTTGGATTTTAGTTTCAGAAATATAATGAACTCATTCAGAAATATAATGGGTACTCATTGATAACTTGATGAATAAAAAAGTACCTATGGTTTGCAATCATTTAATTAAGTTTTCTTTAAAAATCAGTTAAAGAGAAAAGGGTAGGAAAACTAAATTTATGTTTTCCTTTGTTCACATTAACACAGTTTTCCCTTTTTAAAATGAAGGATGGGAAGCTGAAGAGATCCTACTTAATTAAATGATCAGTTAGGAGGATGGCCAACTATTTGGGATGAGTGGGTAAAATGCTTTTCATCATACAACTCAAACGCCCCGGAAAATTTGCCATTGGCAGACATGAAATTATATTAACGCTAGATTAGGGATGAAGCGAAGAAGCAGAACCTTACATGTGAGAGCACTGAGATAAATCTTCAAAACCTAAGAAGAGATAAATAAAAGCAAAGAATGTCAATGCAATGGTTTTTTTTGAAAATTTTATTTTCATTTTATTTGTATGATTTGCCTGCCGGGTCTATGTAGCTCTCAAATCTCATCAGATTCTCTGGAACTGTAGGTACAGATGGTTGTGAATTGCCATACAGATACTAGAAATCAAACCTGGATCCTCTGAAAGAGCAGTCAATGCTTTTAGCCACTAATCCATTTCTCTAGCCTGATACTGTGGCTTTTTATATTACATACATGAACTTACATATAAATTTATCAATTAGTGGAAATATTACCTATATCTCCACAGGTACTTGGGATACTGGTTTATCCAATAATATAATGGATATATAAGTAACATTATTTTTCTAATAGAGACTAATACAGTCTTTATAGTCTTTTCTCAATTTATACATTAGTGCTTACACATATGTTACATATTAATTGCCACTGGTATTCTGTTTGGTTAAAAAGGGACCTCAAAGTTTTGGTTTATAACCAAAATTTAATAATATTATGGAATGATGGCTATGATCAGATGTCCCCTAAAAATATATCACATAGAAATTAAGAATATTGTACATTTTATCTGCATCTGTCAATTAGGAACTCTACAGAACTATTCCAACTATATGATATTATTGACATTCAGGCTCTGTTACTGGCTATTAATAATTGGTAACTCATAGGGCTTCTGTGAGACTAGGTGATAGAATGCTTCAAAGTTCTCATTCCTTGTGTATTTAATAGCTGTTGCCATTTTATTATAAAACTTATGTTAGTACACCAAACTTTGTCAAAATAAAACAGCAGTAATACCAACGTTTTATCAACTCAGACGCCATGAAACACACTCCACTAATGTGTCTAAGACATCAATCTACACAATTGACTTTGCAACCCAAAGTTATTAACCTTAAGGTAATATGATTACCCTTATCTTGATGGGTTTTTTTAAATCTTTTGCCCTTTTACTTAAATTCAAAAATTTATATTTAGATAGGATTTTCAAAGCAAGCATTTACATTTTAAAGTAAAAACAATAATTTTTAACTTTTATTTACCATGTCACACACTTATAAATCACATTCTATATCTTATTCTATCTTTCCTTTGTAGTATTTAAGATTATGCATGCCCATATTATCCAAGGTAACACAGAAACACTTATTCCTTTTCCATCTTTGTATTTCTTTGAGTTACTTTTATTTCTTTGTATATTTTACTACAAGTAAGGTGGTCCCAGAAAACACTGGATATTACAGGCTTCCAAAAGAGTCATTGCTTTTAGTGCTCAGCACCCTTCAACAAATGGGGAAAACACTAGGAAGGAGTCATAGTGATCATTTTAATTCTCTTTTTATGCAAAATTGGGGATTTACTAACTTATTCTATTTATCTTGATGCATTAATTATATCTCATTTAACTACTTTTATATCCTTACTATTTTCTTCATTTTTTAATTTTCTTTTTGAAGTCATACTTCTTTTTCAATATCTAATGGTGGTATTTTTCTGGACCAAACATGTTCCAACTGGATATTGACAGTTGCTTGAGTATTGATGAAGATATTTTCATTTCTTTATAAATTGTCTGGCAGTGATCTTTGCCAACACACTCTATGCATGTCCTTCAATTTGTTCATGTAATAGAAATTATAAGAGTCTGTACTAACTTCTTTCTGCTTGCTACAGTGCTCGGATAGACAATAGCTGACCATTGCTGAGTTGTATGTAATTGGAAATGCCATTCTGCCTTGGAGAACTGCCCTAACGAGATGACAAAGAATTGTACTGGCTAGGTATCGCCTAACTTGTAGTTTTCTTCAGTAAAACGAATCTTGCCTCGGTCTCATTTTTTCCTGTGAGAAGGCTTATATTTTACTTTTCAGATAAAAGCTTAAAAGCTTTGATCTATTATCTGTGATAAGAGACAAATTCCACTTTTTGATGAAATTCACTTTTCAAGAACCAATGCCTCAAGCAACCAATAAACCATTTGAGAAACGAATGCAGTGCAAGTCTTACCAAAATGCTGAGAACTGTTAGCTACAATGAACTAATGAATCATCATGATTTCCCTGTTGTCTTATGGCTCAAACAACAAAATAAAATTACCAAAATGAAGCAAAACATAGTTAAGGCTCTTATTCATCATAAGCAA